TATTTTTCATCTCTTTCATTTGCATTTGAGCAAAATTAATTAATTTACTAATTGAGATTACATCAGACTAAGCATGCAAATGAGAATTTACATCGCAAAATTTTTCTTCTGAAAAATTTTCTATTTGCGACCTAACGGAAATATTACTGAACTATGAATCATTTAATTCTCATAATGTTTTTCTTCATTTTAGATTTCAATTTTATTTCTAAATTCTAACTTTTTCTATTGTATTCTTGAAATCATTTAAAAATCTTTTCATATATATATATGGTGTCACCAAAACTTATTCAGGTTTAAACGTATGTGTGTAGGTATAAATAGATATTTATGTGTCATAAAATTTATCAGATTAATCAAAAAAAGAGAAAAAAAATGTAGTTTGTGTGTGAGTAAGTAAGATAGATGAAAGATGTGAATTAATAGTGACGTTGAATAGAAAGTGTGATAAACAACTTATTAAACTAAATAGCAAATAAATGATTATTTTCATCATTACCTGGCAAGGTAAGAGTTTGAAATCTTGTATTTAATAAATATGAATCATAATGATAACCTAAGCTATGAGCCAAATTTCTGTTCCCGGATATTTTATTCAACTGATTTTTTTTTTCTTCATATATAAACAAATATAATTATTCTTTTACAATTGTTTGACAAATTGTCATTTCATTTTTTAGGTACCAGAAAACAAAATTTTATGTTTGTTAAGAGAAAAAAAAAAACACTATTCGTTTTTAGTATTATTATCTGATAATAGTAATATTTGGCATGTAAATATTTATTAACATTTATGATATTTAAGGGAAGTATTATTTACATTATGATGATATATTAAAGAAAAATAGTATCATTTATAATTAGCAATTTAGAATAAAAAGTTATCCTATCATTACTTTTTATTGATTTCTCTTATTTCCTCAATAATTATCTATCAAAAATTTTTGCCAAGAAAGCATCAAATTTTAGTATCAAGAAGTAAATATTCACATTTCAGAATAGGAATAATTGATTAACTTTACTTAATTAATAACATATTTCAAGCAAAAAAAAATGCCATACAAAGTTTCTTTTCATTTTTCATCATTCACAATTGCACCTCAAATGCTAATCAGTTGTATTGAGAGTATATGAACACACCTACATCTAGAACACCTGTATCCAGGATAGATGAGTACACCTTTATCTGTGATTATGTCAACAGTTGTTTCCTGAACAAACATCTATATCTAACATTTGCATTCAGAATATGAATTTCCTATATTACTTCTTCTACCCATTTTTATTTGTTTAACATTTTAGTACTTACCATTATTACTTGATAACTTAAAATGAAAGCTTAATAAACTCAACAACAACAACAATAGTCACAAAATCGCTTATTTAGCTGGGATTGTGCAAATTTTTACAGCTTAGTTTCATATTTACTAGCTTGCTACTACAATTTAATTGATTATTTAATATTTTGTTGCTAAAATGAATTCAACTGTGATAGGTTTTTAGAGCACTGGAAGCTCTTTAGAGATAATTGATTTTATAAAGTTTCTAACAACACTCTGAACAATGACGAATTCAGATTTTGCCACTTTTTTTCCCGATGATGACATCCGGAATCTCCCATTATTTCCGATTTAGTATACACATATGCTTTCGTTTTTTAACTATATTACTTAATGTTATATAATAAATAGCTACTAGTTGTATCCTTATTTAAAAACAAACTAAATCGTTTATTATTTATTTATTCTTTAAGAGAAGAATTTAACGGGCTCAAAAATCAAACAAAATAAAGAAATTGTAAGGTCAAAAAATCACGAAATAAAAATTGATTCAATTTTTTTTTTTTAAATCAAACATTAGAATTAAAATTAGTAAGGTTTATAATTTAGGTATCATATAAACTATGATTCAGTTCTAAAAAAATAGCGAAAAAAAGGAAAATTCTATGAATAATAATAAGGTAAAGTTATGAGTAGTGTGAAATTTAAATTGCATACTTTTTTTTTTAAAATAAGTCATTAGGTTATGTTAGGAAGCAAAAGTGCGTCAATCATTTTTCTCTTTAGAAAAATTTCCGGAAATGTGTATAAATATTTTAATTAAGTTAGCATATTATTAAATAAGTGAAGGAGCAGATTAATAATATTTTCAGCACCTTTCCTTTTTTCCCTTTTTTTTCCTTCTGCTTATAAACATTTCCCATTAGATATCAATATTCAAAAAATAAATGAAATGATTCGTATAAGTGATCAAAATTTTTACAAAAATTCATTCAATAAATTATTATTATTATTGATGTAATAATTATACAATTAAGGTAGTAAAAACTAATGAATAATTATAAAAATTGCATAATACATTACGTCAAAAACGTAACTTTCTTTTATCAAAGTTTCTTCTTCTATTCCCAAAGCCTAGAAATAAAGAAAAATCGTTTTTCATCTCCCTTGAAAATTCAACGAATTCATTGAAATATATGATTGATTGTATCTGTGACGATGATATTTCCCATCAAAAATTTCTATTTTTCTAACTTATCGATTTATGCCTCTTATTATTCAATGATTATTCATTTCTTCTTTCATTCTTATAAATTTATACAGAATAAAACTATATAGAATAAGCAGAAAAATTTAGCAGGTGAATTTTATTAGATGGATTTTTTATCTATAAAATTAATCAGTTATTTAAATAAAAATTAATCATCGTTTCAAATAATATCTTTTTTCCTCTTTTTTCCATTGATATTACGTCAAGTCCATAATTATTAGTGGCACAAAAGTTGATATACAATTATAATTTTTCTTACTTCAAATTAATTTTCAAATGCTTAGCTCATCTAATTTTCTTCGTTTTACTCATTTATGTAATTAGTTGAGCATTTGCACATATCATTTAGATGCATAAAATTTAGTATTGTAACGAAAAAACTAATTTTAATAAAAGAAAAAAGCACAAAAATTGAAAGGTTAAGGAGTTTCATAGCTATGAGTCTACAAAAATGCAAAATGTATAAAAAGAAGCAGATAAACATAAAACAGAAAAATATATTAAGCTATAAGTGTATCATTAATGCTTAATTCTCTCAAATATGTAAATTTCATATTGTATTAGATAGCTATCATTTTTCGATAATAATATAACCATTCATTATTTTTTGAATTTATTTTCATTTATGTTTTTGCTTTTTTTTATTTCATAATTCAATTTTGTCATCGTGATTATCAATCAAATAAAACTGACTGTTAATTGTTATAGTAATATTTCATTATCATTGAAAGAAAAATGAAAATAATCGACAGCTGATCATTAGTTGTATCCTCTCCTTTCATATCACTCAGATTAAGAAAAAAAAAGAATGCAATAATAAATTGTTACCCAAATGTTCTTTTGTTGCCTTTTTTTCTCATTGCAATATTAATTTTTCAAGTTAAAATTATAAAATTAACAAAATCAATTAAACAAAGGATGAAGAGAAGAAGAAAGTAAAAGAATGAAAAAAAATGAAAAAATAAAATTTTAAAAATTAAACTTTCATAATAATTTTTAACGAAAAAAGAAAATGATGGAATGCAGATTTTGTACTTTTTTTTCTTTTTGAAATTCATATATTCCTTTTTGAAATGCAAAGTTTATGTAAGTATGCATGTGTCTGTGTATGTATGCCTATATCAGTGTACTTATGTATATATGCATGTATCTGTATGTCAATGTATGTATGTGTATGTGTCTGTATATGCATGTGAGCATTAATGGAATGTATTTAGTAGGCAATCGGAAAATTGTGTTGCACTTATTAAGCCACTTTTTCCCTTTTTTTTGTCAATATGATCCTAAAAGGATGGAATAAAATGGAAAAAGAAGAAGGAACTTATCTGAATTGTAACCGTATTTCTCACTCCGGAATTTCTCATTTCTAATCGATTCCATTAACTATTCCTAAAACTATTACATACATACGCATACGCATATGCATGCATATATATACATACACATACACACACATACACGTAAATGCGCATGTCAGACTTTTCCGCTTCGTTGCCACCACCATCACACATTGCAAATTTAGACTACGGATTCATTCCTTTCTTTTCTCTAAAAAAAAATTTTTTTTTCAAAGTGGTAATAAATTTGGGCCACGGGCCAGCATTTCTAATCGTACTTTTGTTTATCTAAATTATCGTTTATAGTTTTATTAAAAGCTTTTTCTATTTTTAAGTGAAGAAAAAGAGTAAATTTAGTTACCTATCAGAAGACGAAATATCAAAAATCAAAGGTCACTCGCAATCTTATTTATTTATTGTTACTATTATTATTTCTTTTACTTCGTTTCATATATGTTGGTATACTTTTTTTGTAAATAAATAGATTGAATTAATTGTTGGGATATAAGTTTAAATCAATTAAAATAAAACGAAAAGCAATCACTAACAAGAATAAATGATAAGTTAGCTATATGCAAAATGAATGCGCACAAACATTTATGTATTATCTCGTTAAACTAGAACTATAAATTATTAAACTTTGATATTTAATTGATGGAGAATAAAATAAATTATTTCCATTGATACGAAAGATATAAATGTATGGTGTGTTGTTATTTATTTCACTTCACATGTTTACTTTCTTTATTTTGTTCATCAAGTCAATGTTCATTTTGTGTATTGCATGTATATATGATTTATTTAATCGTTAGATTCATTACCATTTCAAGTGCAAATTTCTATTTTTTTCTTTTCAGATTTAATCCAAATGAAGAAACTTTATGATTATTAATTGCATTTATATTTGTTTATAAACTAAGAATCATTAATTAGACAATACCGATGAAACAGCATCAGCAACTAGAACGAATTCTGATATTTTCTGTTGCATTCTGCTTCAAATTATTACTATTTAATCATATTTTTGCTGTAACAATAAACAAATTGTTGGAATAGCAACAGTATTACAAAAAACGGAAAAAATTAAGCGGAAAGATAAACGGTGAAGAATCAATGGATCGTGCCAAAAAACGTTTAGCATCAGCGCTGGATGGTTTCAGGAGTCAACATAAATCGGAAATGGAACTAGAAGAGAAGATAACTGCTGAAGATGTTTGTTTGACAGGAGTAAGTGATATGTAATAAATCTTTCTGTATTTATTGAAATATCCCTAGAGGAGAGAGCGGTATTTGTTTGGGTATCATCAAAGAAAAAATAGCATTTTAATTCTTTATATATTATTGGAAAGAGAAAGAGAAAAGAAAGCGCAACTAAATGATGCTGTTATTTATTTGAGTATTCATTAAGGATTGATGACTTTGGTTGGGAATATACTGGAATCATCCATATTTTAAAGTATGAATAGAAATTAATCAACAAATTTATCAATTTTCTTTTTTTGTAATAAATGTAACTTTTTTCAAAGACTAAAGAATTTACAATGTTAAAATATTTTCAAACGATTTTGGTATATATAGGATTAGTTTTGCAAAATTATTTTTTGTTTTAAATTGATGTTTTAGAATCATCGAAGTAAAAAACGATTAAAAAAAGCAACTAATTACTGTCCAATCATTTCTAGTAATACAGATGATCCAACAAACTTTCGAAATCAAAATGATAATTATTGAAAGCATTTTTTGGCATCATTACTATTGTAAGATTAAATTTTCAAAAGTGTGAAATTTAAATTGATAAAGAAACGAGAAAAAAAATGAAAATTAGTGATTGAGATATTACTTTGAGCTTTTTGGAATACTATGTTCAAAAATTTAGATCTATTGGGATATTTTCAGATCGTAAGGCATGGATTTCCAGACGACCCACGATGTATGGCTTATGATGTCGTACAACGATTGCTAGCCATAGGCACTGGCCATGGAATAATCAGAGTTATCGGAGATGTTGGAGTGGATTATTGTTTGAAGCATGAATCAGACGCTGCTGTACTTCATATACAATTCTTGACCAATGAAGTATGTTTTGTTATTTTTTCTGTCATCTTTCTGAATTTTAAATCTTTGATGATCAAAATATGGAATTATTAGAAGCTTTTTATCAAATTCAAGTCACTTTAATGAAAAAAAAATCTAAACTATTTGGACTGTTTGGATTTTTTTTTCCTGCTGATCTCATATAGGTGGTAGATTTTCAGGATTATTATCCTTTCTTGTTGGGTTTTACATTTAACTCTTATTAAAAACTTTTTTTTTTCTCAAATATTTGTTTTAAATTAATAATACGAAAGGAATAATTAAGCGAATATTAATTTGAAAGACCTAAGCTTGTTTAACTAACACTGTTATAATTTGAGATGTAAAACGCACAATTTCTTATTTCTTTTAATAATGTAAAGAATAACGATATGTCAATAAATGTAAATAAGCAGCATATGAAAGTGGGAATTGAAACAAAGTGAAAGCGAAAAAAAGGGATTTAAAGTAATAGCAAAAAGAAGATTCAACGATGAATGAAAAAGCAGTCTTTGTTTTTAGGGAGCACTAGTTACTGCATGCCGTGATGACCTGATACATTTGTGGAACTTTCGGCAAAAGGTAACGAAGGCATTAATTCCAAAAAATATTGATGTATTTATTTTATAGGGATTCGCTGAAACATTAACAAAAAATTTAGAATAGTTGGAAGCTTTTATCAAAATATAAAATTGGAAAAACTTTTCTTTGTTGTATATTTGATAATCGTGTTTTCTATTTTAAAATCCAATAACTTGTAGCAAATTTCAATTCAATGAAGAATGATTTTGAGTCTGATATGACATTTTTTTATCAGTGACTTATTCAGGTACCAGTGATATTGCACAGTATACAGTTAACGAAGGAGCAAATTACCTGTATCAGCCACTCTTTCCAAAGTAAATGGCTTTATTTGGGGACCGAACGTGGTAATGTATATTTTGTTAAAATAGCCACATTTACCTTATCTAGTTACGCTATCAACTGGAACAAGGCCATTGATTTGTAAGTTTATCTTTTTTTTCTTATTTCTTTTTATTTCGCTTTTGCAAAACAGGTTTAAGAATCTTTATACATTGTTAAATTTGTTGGAAATTTTTGTTGAATTTTAAAATAAGCAGTAGAGAATAAAACAACTTCTGATTAAAACACCGATTTTGGTTAAATATTAAATGACTCTGCTTATCAGCATTTTTTTTTTTTTTCTACATAAGAACATCATGATACTTCGAAATCAAGCAGGTACCAATATTTCTATCCTACAGTATCATAAAGTGCTGTTGAAGTTTTATTTTTAATAAATGTTTTGATCATAATCCTCATCATGCGTAACCATCAATCTTTTATATGTCCTTTAAATTGATTCTCTTTCCTTACTATAGACTTAGCAAGCATCTCGCATACATTCATGTAGATTTTTTTTTTTTTGTTTTTCAAGAAAAGGAACTTGCAGTAGTGAAAAATATTTCCTATAGCGACGATCTTTCAGAATAAGTTCATGTTATTGTATTACTTGTGAAATTTTAGTTAATGAAATATTCATTATTCCTATTTGTAGCTCTCAGTACATTCAATTACTAGAATGCATGCTTTGAGTTAATCATCTGAGGAAATGGATGATATACTTTCCATTGATTTGAAAGTTTTACTTCCACTTGAATGACTATGTACTTCGTTCTGTCATATTTCAGAGGTGTTCGTACTCATCCTGGTGGTGTAAAAGCTATTTCTACCTGCCCCACCGAACTTTCTAAATTATTGATTCTATATGAAAAAGGGAGTATTGTATTATGGAACCTTCAAACGAAAGAAGTAATCGACTGCTTTGAAAATTAATTTTTATTGAACTATCCATATTTTTGATCAATATTAGAAGAAAATCATTTTTGATCACTAACGTCTCTTCTAGGTGGAGAGATTCATATCTGATCATCCAGCTCGTTGTTTTGCATGGCATCATGATGGCCGACAGTTTATGTGTGGTACAGCTGATGGATGCTTGTTGGTTTGGAATATTCGAAAGCCCGGAGAATATATACAAAAATTGCAACCTCATGGACAGAAGTGTAATTCTATTAATCAGGTCTTTCTTCACGTGAATTTGTATGATTATTTCTTTATATATATTTTGCAATGACTTAACCTATTTACAAATTTCAGGTTGATTGGAGGCATTCAGCAGATGGAGAACAGTTAATTATTTTTGGTGGTGGTTAGTATTTTAATGAAAAACATTGATTTCTTATTATCTTTTACAAAACTTATTCAAAACTTTCATTCAGCTAATTAAGAATTCAAAATTTTTAGGCATGTCACAGGAAGATGGCGTATTTTCCTCTTTAACCATAATGAGAGCATCAAAATCGATTACAGTTTTGGAATTAGACCATCCTTTGATAACCTTTACACCTCTGAATTCTTCACCTTATAGCAGTGTATCACAGCAACCTTCTAGTGTTGCAGTACTAATGAAGAATGATTTGCTTGTTATCGATCTAACTATTCCAGGGTGATTTTATTCATTTGATTTATAAAATGATTTTAGGGTAAAATGTTAAGTTTTAAAATGTTAACTTTAGTCTATTATAGATTTTTTTTTCTCCTTAAAATCTTGAAGTTTAAGTATCAAGACGCAAATCTAAAACGCTTAAAATAAAATGTCTCCAGTTATAAGTATGAGGTTCATATGGTAGATCAAAATTCCTTCATAACGGAATCCTTTGTAACGTTTAAATTTTTCAACTCAGGAAGGTGACATGTTATTGCTATTCTTAAATTTGGTTATTGTTACAAGCAGTTAATTTTAGCTATCCTTGCCATGAAAATGTTACTCCTATGGATATTCATGAATCACGGGTACGATGTATATGTTATTTTTCCAATTGTCCTCTTGATTTACTTGGTGCCCTAGCACTTGTTGGTTCGAAACAGCGGCGTCAAGGATTTAGTGATAAGGTTTATTCATTTTTTTCCGAACTCAAGTTTTTATGCCTTAGCTTTTCTTAAATTTGAAGTTGCGAAATTGGATTTTTCAGCCATGGCCGATCACAGGTGGAAGTGGACGAGATTGTGCAATGGGTCATCAAGAATTATTACTTACGGGGTAATTGTTCAGATGTGTTTATGCAAATGATTGGAGAAAAGAAATCGTTGTTGCGGTTTCAGTAATCCTAATTACAGTAGCAGATTTTTAACGTGTGGCAGGCATGGTGTAGTTCTGTTTGAATTTGATGAATGGAATGTGTAACATATTATGTTTTATCTCGGAATTTAGTAATTAAATTATTTCACTCAGGAAAAAAATCTTTTGTTATGCAGAACTGTTGATGGTAGGTATAATTCATTTGTGTTTCCACTTGTTATAGCCATGAAGACGGATCTATAAAATTCTGGCAAGCATCGGGTGAGCATCTTCAAATCTTGTACAAATTAAAAAGTGGGCGACATTTCGAACGAAATGATGGATTGGAATCTCATGAAGCATCACATGCTGTTACGATGATTGAATTATGTTTGGATTCACGATTGCTGCTAGTTGCCGCACAAAGTGGACAGTTGACACTATTTCGTTTTGTAAAAACTGAGAACGCTCATGAAATTACTGTAAGGCATCAGGATTTTTAAAACTTGAATGAGTTATATTATAAGATGAAAATATATTTTCCAGTTTGATTTGTTATGATGTAGAGCTTCTATAGTTCTTTCTGGCTATTTATGAAATTAAACCCTTAATGTTTCTGATAAATTTATTTCCATACTCTTTCAGGTAATTAATATTCCATCTACATTTTCTTTTTTATCGGGTAATGTGGAATCGAATAAAACATCTCCAAAGAGAGAATTAAGAAGGCAGGGAACGGCAATCTCAGTGGAATCAAATAGTACAGATACCAGTGAAGGTAGCACAAATGATGGTTATTTTCCATTGAAAGTGAAAGGTGGAGTGCTCAGAAGACTTGCAGGGTATCAGGTAATTATGGATATATATATATATATATATATATATATATATGTATATATATTTTTAGGGTTGCCTTGTATCATTGAACTTTTAATAAAATATAAGTTTTAGCCAGATTTGGTATGCATGGTTCCGTGGAGGAATGCGTCACAACCGGAGACAATTACAGCAGTTGCTCTCAATTCAGCATACGGCATTATTGCACTTGGTTTGGATTTTTATTTCTGTTTTTATAAAAAAAAGGATTCCACTACATGTAGAATTCTTTTTATTACGTGGACGGTTTATGGAAGTCTTTAGAAATTGTGTAATTAAATTCCTGCCTTTTCTAATGTATTTTTTGAGCTCCACTGGGAATAGTTGCTTGAATTTTCTCTCTTCCTGTGTAAAAATCAGAAGATTTGTTTGCTGGGTAAACCCAAAAATAAACATAACTATATGTTAAACATATAGCGCAATTCTAAAGACATACTGAACTGAATTATTTTATTGCTATAGTAAGTTTTTAAAATTTGAATAATTTAACAAACTAATCCTGTTAAAAATTCGAAGCAGTTCATTCTTTATTTTTGTCATCAAAAGTATTGTTTTCCAGCTTGTGAGGAAAATAGCTTGCTATATGTCAAGTTGGTGGATAGAGTTCAAAAATAATTTAATTTGTATTCAAGATATGTTGATTGTTTTGAAACCTCTTGTTCAGAAATATTTCATCCATATACAAAGCATTCATCAATCTCAATATTTCAGGCACATCATCAAGTTTAACTCTGATTGATTTGGTGCAGTATATCATAATATGTTCGTGGTCACTCGCTGATCTATACATGCAGCAGCATTCAACACCAATATTGCTTAGTCAAAACAGCAATTCAAGCCAATATGATGTTTGTATTTCGATATTTTTGGAGTTCTGGTTTGAAGTTCCTGGTTAGAAGAATAACTTTTGTGAAACTTGGAAATAAGAACATAAGTCAAAATAGGGCATAAATTCATTTAATAAATCATAAAATAACATATTGACACTTAATTAAATATCAAGGATTGGGCTGATGAGTTTGAGTTAGTTTATTAGCAGTTGTGAAGATATTTTTAATTCAAAATATAATTCTTTATGAATGAAATTAGGAAGTACAAAAAGGCAAATAGCAAATAAGTAATTAAAGTGTTGCAATTTTTTTTCCTTTTCCTCCTTCTTTGATTAGTTTATTGATTCATAAGTACTGTTTATTGCTATAGTATTTGTTCTTGTTTTTTGTTGTCCTTGTTCATGTTCCGCATTTCTCATTTGCTTGCACATTACTGCAGCATTCTTTTGATATTCAATTTAGTGTATTTGAACTTATATGTAAAAATATCTAAAGTAAATAGATGGCCTGATAGCAAGTAAGTTAGCTTATATACCGACCATGATGTAAGTTGTTTCGTAGTTAGTATGAATAGATGAGCTAGTATATTAATATATTAAGATGTTAATAATTAATGCAATATATATATATATATATATATATTTAATATGCTAAAAATGTGCATCATAACTCCCAGCAGAAAGCTAAGAGCTGTGTCACTTCTGAGATATATATAGTATTTAGAAAATATCAGGCCATTTTTTTTTCTGTGTTTTCGCTTAAATATGTTCAAAATACACTTGTTATGGAGTTTTTTTGTGTTTGCATGCCTTTTTTGTCACGTTTGATCACGTATTTTCAGCCATTTGTCATATCATCGCAGCAACAAGAAACTTCCACAACAAATGTATCTTTGGAAATGGATACCATATATTCAGGAGATATTTCAGCTAAATGTGCTACGCCAAAAGGAGCTAAAACTACATCGCCGATACAATTGCGACCTTCCAATAAATTGTCGCATCGTCGAAAGCTTTTCAAACATATGACGTTAGGCAAAACATTTCTTAGTCGGACAGCAGATGGAAATGAAAAAATGAAAACAATGGAAACAATAACAACAGAAAACAAGGAAACATTTACATGCAAACATACCTCGCCGCACAATTTAGATCACAAAAAACGTTTTCAATTGGAAAGTACATCTGTGCGAAGCAATGAAATCTTAAGAGCGGAAGATTCGGAAGGAGTTCGGGAGGTTGATGTAAACTGTTTGATAGACAAACTTCGTGTCAGAAGAAAAACTTTTATTCGATCATCAACGATACACACGTCAACAGCCTCTGATGAACAGTTCAAATCAATGTCGGGTTCGAAAATAACATTAGGTAAGAAATCAGCATGCATACCCTATTTTTCGCTTTTCATTTTAATGCTTTGAACACAAAGTTTTAACAGAGTGAGTGTTTTTTTTTTTCAAATACAAAATTTCAAACGGAGTATACTGGTGAGTTCAAAAACTGCATTTTCATTTGCTGCACTCGCACTCATCCCTAAGTCAGTAAGCGTCCGAGTTCATTATGCTTCGATTCCATTACAATGTATATAAAGAAATGAGTCAAGTGTGTATCTCACGAAAGCTTGCATTGTTTTGCTATGCATATTTTATCAAGTTAATTTGCTTAAATAAAGCAATAATATTTTACACTGCTAGTACTTAACAGAAAGACCAGGTTAGTTAGGACCAAGTTACCAAGTTATTCGACATTTTTCAAATTGATGGAATATTCTCAAATGAGAACGAATAACAATTCTGAGTTGTGTTATCTTTCTGCTTATGTACTACTCCGTTCTCCTATGTTTGTCAGTTTATTTGTTTAACCAATGTTTTCCTTGAACCATTGTGTTTTTTTTTTTTTGTTTTGTTTTCCTACTGTAGTATATGTAATATTGATTATTCTTACAACTATATAGTAGTAACTGGTAGATTAACTGTACTAGTAATAATAAATTTCGAATAGTATATATCTGCAAACATTTCTTACGAAGCCAAACTAAACTTAATATTTTCATTAGTTCTTAAGATGAACTTTTTTTTGTAAACTAAAATTTGAAAACCTGTGAAACTTTGGCTGAAAAAAATTTTTAAATTGGTTGATATGGTAGCTTCAGTATGGAATGGATACGAGGCGTAGTATGGATTCGCCACCAATTATTGTCAATAGCAAATCGATGTTACGTGGTAATGCGGAAAATTCACGTCTACGTTCGGATAGGCGGCCGCAATTGTTAAAATCACAATCTATTATTGATTCAGGCTGTGAAATTAATGGTACTTGTTTTTGTTTTCTGACATCTCTTTCATTTTGTATAATTCTCACATTTTTTTTTGAATCAACGAAAATAAAATCAGAAGATTAAAGTCTCTTCACGTTAATCTTTTTTCTGCTTTGCCTCCTTTTTTTTGCAACATAGATTTGTTGAAGCTTCTGAAATAATCATATGAAGATACTACACAAAATTGTAAAGAATTAGGGTCGTCGAAGTGCTTGAAACTGGCCTATAGCATTTTTATTACAGAAAGAACTAACACTGTATTTAATATTAAATTGAGTTATTACAGATGATGGAACTAAACATTTATATGAGTTTCTCATCACAAGTTATTGTTTTAAAGATTAGTTGTTTAAAGGGGTAATACATCTGATCCAACAATTTCTTGTACTGTATATTATTCTTTACATTGCCTAATCATTGATTTATAAAAACGTTTTAGGATTTCAAATAAGCCAATATTTTAGAAATTTCAAATGTGTTTCTAAAAATCTTGAACACTTTTGCTTAAATAATTCTAAACTTTTTTTGAGTAGGTTATTCTTTATTCATTATTTTTGTTGCAGAATTCTTTTAAAGGAATTTAAAAATGTTCACATAAATATTGAATATGTTGCAATGAATCGACAAAAAAATTGGTTTTAGATTGAGTGGTAATTACTGAAAACTGATTTATTATAATTTGATTGTAGACAGTCTTTTTGTTTCATTCCTGTAATTCAGTTTATTAATATGTCTTTTTTTGTATGAGATCAAATATTAGTTTAAAATATGTCTTAACTGTAAGATTGAATATTGGGAAGTTAATGCAAATAGTAGTAATACAAATGAATGTAGTTGGAAGAAGGTTGTGAAAATAGAGAAGTGGGCTTTGGGAATCTAATGTTTTTGTATGGTTTATGTTTATTTAAATTTAATCCTTCTTATATCCCCAGCTTTCTTTCGGAGACTTTCTAAGTCTTCTTTCAAATTTGAGGATTTTCAATACATGTTTTGATAAGAATTACCTGAGCAGCTGAGACATTGAGCAAGGATGCACAAATAGAAGTCGAACTGTGATAATTGTTGTATACTACTTCTCATTATTATTATTCTTTTCGTTTTTGTTTTTTCATTTTTCAATGCTGTAGGAAATTTATATACATGAATGTTTCCGTATGGAGTAATCTTGTTTTTATTCTTGGTTCCATTGTGACGTATGAAGTTAAGTCAAGCTGGTAACAAAAATTTGCTTGAAATTGAATTGAAAGATGGAATTTTTATTGTAAAGATTCGTATTTGTGAATGAATTTTAACAGATTTCAGATTCAACAATAACGAAGAGAACTTCAGTAGATGAGAGTCCATCAAGCACTAACAAGATGTTTTTTTCGGAAAGTGTGACATCGCTTACATTTATTCAGTCATTTGTCAAAAAAAGAGGTTAGTCTTTAGGCTGATACTATTGAATTAGATGTTATATCCTTTAGCATATTTAAAAATTAATTAATGGTTATTGACACTACTTTTAATTGCTGTCATTAGTAGATCAATTTCTATCTCGTAAAAGTTTGAAACTGTTCGGGTTTTGTTTTCAATGAAGTAAGCGTACTTAGGAAAATCTGCATCAGCTATTAAAGTGTTTCGTGTACCTGGTGTTTTGAATTTTGAAAAATTTCAAAAGTACAATTCTTTTAAGAGCTTTAGATCCTCGAGCACATTTGTGCCTTTGGGTTGGTACTTCTGCGAGCACATGTATTATCTATCATTTGTTACTTCCGACTGATCGTCAAAACTCAACAGTCTCCGTGGCTCATAGCGGTTTGTTCTTTCAATATTCTTTCGTAGTACTGGAAATAAATTTTATTTGATCGGTTCAATATTGTAGCAATATGCTTGCGCTTGTAAATAAAGCTGTTTTACATTAAACTTCTGGGTTATTTTTGTTAGGTTCAATAGTTCAGACGCGAGGACGTATGCTGTATACAACGCTAATGGATCGAAATTTTTGTTTATTAGAGGGAGCAGCAGAAAGTTATCATGAAAAGGTGATTGCGAAACCCAAAGTCAGTTTCAAATGTATATAATGCATGATTCTTAAGCCGTAAATATTTCCAGAATTTTTGTTGTAAACTATTTTTTCCAAAAATCCTGTGAGTAGTGACTTCATAATCGTTTCATAATCTGACAAAGTGGAGTTGGGAGGAGGATTTTATGTCATTCATTTATTCATTGTTAGAACTGTAAAATATGCATTGCCAACAAACAAAAAAAATTAGAGTTTTGTTTCAGGAAGATGATCGGAATCATTCAGAAGAAAATAACTTTCCGAATAAAGTTCTTACAAAACTGAGTCTTTCACCAACTTGTTCAAACGCGACAGAATACTCCCGAGAGGATGACTTTCTACAGGTAAATGATGATCCGAGAATTATTTGGTCTTGGTACTCATGAATTTGTAGTTCAGTTATTAAATATTTCATTTACAAAAATATTTCATTTTTTTGGTGTTTTTCTTTTTGGTATTTTCGTCATTTTACTTGTAAATTGCTTTCATTCTAATTTTAATTATTTCAGTTTGCTGTTTTGGTTTCTGAAGATGAAGTACATACCGTTGCATTGCCAAATTTCAATTCTTTGTTTTTATACCGTCCGGAATTCCCATTCGTTAAGGTTAATTTTCTAATGCACACTTAAAAATATCGGAGTCTCTAGAGCTCTCTTATCATTAAACCCTTGCTTACAAGATTATCTATTGGGGAATATGAACGATGCTTAGTGTCAACGCATAACCAACGCATAACGGAAATATTTCCTCAAGGTCTCTGCAAACCAAAATCGACTTATTAATCATGTGAAACCAACAAAAAATATAATTTATTAAATAACGAAAAAAAAAAAACGGCAATAAAAAACAAAAAATATAAAGGAAAAAATTAACAAATCAAGTGGTCAGACTAGAACAATGCAATAGTGCAGTCATTATGCAGAAGTTTATACCCTATCACAGACTTATGCAGTGCGAAATAATTAAACATTTCTATATTTAACATTTGTGAGAAATATCCACAATGTTCCATCAGTAATATTTCAGGCACGAGCAACACACGTTCATGGTTATCCCGTGCTAATGTTATTGAATGGTGCGGGGCAAATTGTTATATTAAGTCTTCCGAGTTTGAGGCTTCTTCTTTGCTCAAATCTCTTCCGACATTCTGTTGATTACGATGACCCGTAAATTTTTCTTTTGTCAATTTTCCTTTTTGCTAATGGCTATTGTTTTTTTACAAAATCAGTAATTTCAAATTATGTAAAGGAAAAGGGACCAAGATCAGGAACATGAAAGACAGAAAATCAAAATCACATTCGTTTTCTGCAACTTTGCTATTTATTCCGAGAAAGAGAAGCAGAACTTCTTTTTTTTTTTTTTTTTTTGCCAAGCTACTTGAAATTATGCAAATTTCACTCTTTGTGAGTTGTCATCGTTTTACATTTTAATAAAAACAGTTATGAAAAAAATTATTTTTGAATGTTTTCGCAGATCTGGTCCTGTTTCAGTATTTGTTTCAAGACGTCCTTTGCTGAACATGGGTTGGGTATGTATACCATAACGCCATCAGAGGTAAGAAATCAGTTGAAATAATTAGTGCTACTTGTTGATTAGTTATTGTCAATAGTCAGTAAGTGTAAAATGGAGTATTATTAGCGAAGACAAGCGCTTTATCTCTCCTCTCATTCTTTTTCTTTATTTTGAGGAAAATTGTCCTATTACTTAATTGAGCTGAAGTATAAAAATGAGAGAGAGAAAGAAAAGAGAAGGTAGGAGCTAAAATGAGTGGTCCAGGACGAAAACGTCCGTGATCGTTTATGCGTACATGCTCACAGGTTGACTAAATTTAAGATGCGTTATATATACATATTTTTTTGTAGAGCGTTAGCGTTTTGTGTCTTTTTATAATCAAAATTTGCTTATATAGAATCCATATAGTGTTGCATTTCAAATATTTCAGATCCAAAAATTCACTATTTGCTCGGAATTAGCAAGCCAAGTGCAGGAATCAGCTGGCGAGTTGTTCGTGCCTGTTGATATGCCTGAGCCACCAAAAAGTTCATTTTTGAAAGGAATGTCAACCTTATTTGCCAGTCAAAAAGACAGCTTCGATTTGGATTCTATATGTAATTTCCAGTTTTTCACTGTCTTTCTTTATTATTTCTTAATTGATTTCGTACTATGTTTTCTGATTTGCTTAATTTTTCTACTCATTTCATATTTTTTGGATGTTTTGAAAATTCAAAAAATTTCAGTTCTTGACAAAAATTCCAACTCTGTGCCCGGCAGTAGTATGCGTTCTATTGCAAAAACAATACCTGGTCCATCAAGTATGGAACAAGCTACAGCACGAGGAGCATCGGCGGGTCAAGCTGCAAATATGGCTTTACAAGTAAGTATTTATCATAAAGAAATTATCGCTGAAATGTTCAAAAAAATAAGCTGTTTTTGTGTTTTGTTTAATGATCTTGAATGGTAAGTTTTAGAAGCATTATGCGTTTTTGCAAAAGACTTCTGGAATTAAAAACGTATTAAGGCACATCTTCTTCCATGTTTCATCATTTTCCGGATGAAGTAGGGATGTCTCCCACACGAGACAATTTCCTAATGGTGTTGATAATAATATCAATTTTCAGTAAGATATAGGTTCTAGATGTCATAGCTTTTACCAAAACGAAGATATCTAGTATAGATCGGTTGTTTGCAATCATCTTTATGCAAAAATTAAAGGAAGCAGTTTAAATGCTTCCATCTTGAGCATTTTTTAGAGTTTTTCGTTTTTCACTCTTCCTTTTTATGGGATGGGTTGATTGCATGCTTGCAATTTCCCAAAATTTTCAGGCCTTACATGAACGTGCGGAAAAGCTGAACGTAACTGTAGATGCAACGGAACGACTTAAAGAAAATGCAATGACTCTTTCGCAACGAACAGGAAAGCTAGTGGAAAAGTATGAAAAGAAGAAATGGTATAATTTCTAGATATTTCAGGCTAGAGCTTCTTGAAATTCAGTGTTAATCATTGTTCGAAACTAGTCATTTTGTAATTTCATTCAATATTTCTTTTTTATGAAATATTTCTTTTCATGCATTTCTGTATTCAGTTTGATATTTTTAGTATCTGTTTCCAGTTACAGGGTTTCTTTTTTCTTGCTTTATTCGTAATTAGCTTTTACTCTTTCGGAACATATAGTGCTGCCAGTGTTTCAGCTTATAACGTTCCCGTAATCTTCACATTAATTTTACACTTTGCACACAATTTCATGTAGACTTAAGTGTTACAAGACATAAGTGAATAATTTCATGTATTCGGTTGTCTCTGTATTACTTTCTTTTCAAGTATTTAATTTTGGTAATTTACTTTTTTCAAGAATTTTGTGGAAATTCCTTACAGCAATCTGTTCATAATACATTCTCACATTTAGAATTTATTTCACTTTATTTAATAGTTACCGCTAGCGCTGTGATGTTTCTCATATCAGAAATCGGTTTCCTTTGTATTTAGTAGTGTTTATTTCGCTATTTCCAATATAAATTATTTTCTAAAGATTAGATCATATCAAGCATCAATTTCATCTCAGGCAGCAGATCTTAGCAAAGTTGTATTCTGTCATTCAAAGAGGAAATGAAATTGCTCGAAAAATTGAATTTTTTTCTTTCTTTTCATATAGTCTGGATGGTTCTCAATATATTATAAGGCCTCTTTATAGATGATCAGTCAAAATTAAAGTGCTCCCAAGTGAAGCTTCGAATTGAAAATCAAGTTCGAAACTACATAACTCATAATGTATCTCCAAAATTTGGACTATGATAATTTCTAAGATATACCAATATAATTTAAAGTAGTTTAGTGAATTAAGTAGAGCAAAGAATAATGGGATCTAATTGGAAATGAGTTGAAATAAATCACCTTATCAATTTCATATCGGTGAATTTCCTCAATGATCGAGTGTTGTAGTTCTAGGTAAATTTAATATTTACTAGTTAAAGATTGTACGATAATTCATGTAATAAATCCTTGTAAATTGTAATCTATGTGGTTGTGTTTGGTTTTATATTTATATCTTTCCATTTTTTTCCTCTCCTAATGCTATAAATATTTTGTCTTTTTTTTTTTGAAACTATTGTGAATAAATTTTCTTGAAACAATCGTTTGACTTCTAACAGTTTGCTTTCATCCATTGTGATACTTCTTGGTGTGTAATGGGTCATTTAATGTATTCTAACTCCTTGATTTTTTTTTTTAAACACAACTTGACTTTGGTTTTAATATATAATATGTGATTGACAATAATACGACATATTCGATCTTTGAAATGTAAGACAACATTGTCTCCGGTTTGACGTCATTTACATTTCCCTTTCTGGACAACTGCATTAGTTTAAAAAATAATTTAAGCGATATAATATGACATTTATGAAGTATGGCATATCACTAACTCTTTCTCTTACATCAAACTCTCCACCTCACACTTTAATTTTAATGGTATTCCACATAAAGCAATAACTTTACATGGCTTAAGATTTCAATAGGTGCGACTTTTTTGACCTGCTTGACCTATGGTACATAATTGGAATATGATTTTAAACTGTCTTCTCAATCACCTACGGCAGATGAGTACTGTCAAGCAAATAGGGTGCTCGAGATTTTAATTTTTTCACATAGCGTGCAGTCCGAGTCGCCTAGAGATTATTTGGTTTATTAGAGAGAATGCAGCGGGTAGGGAGGTTGGGGTTATATAGGACGGGATGGAGGTTCGCAGCTATAATTCAGTAGGGTTTTTGAGAGAGCGGTCATTATCTTTATACAGATCATATGAATATATTAGGGAAAATATTCAAATTGTCAATTTTTATATATAATAATTAGTGTTTCTTGCAAGGTTAATCAAAGATGGTGTACAAACGAATGGTAGAAATAGGCCGTGTGGTGTTCGTTGCGAAAGGTGATGACGATGGAAAATTGGCGGCTATTGTTGATGTTGTTGATGGGAATAGAGTTGGTTTTCTTTTTACTTTTTATTACCCGAATCTTTTATTCTATAACAGGCTTAATTCACGTCGTAGATCCGTGTTTGACATATCATTCGGCTATCATGAATTCTCTTAAGTTATGCAGCATGTGTTTACCATGTTAGTCATTGATATGATTAATCGGTGTAATCATTGATATGATTAATCGGTGTGGTCATTGATATGATTAATCTGTGTGGTGTGTCGAAATTATTTTGTAGCAAAAGTCTGTATTTTTTAAACCTAATTTTTGTTTGGGGGATTTAACCAATGTTGGAGGAGATATGAAGCAAAATAATAGCCACATCAAAGTTATTAGGAGAGTACAAAAAGTTATGATGTTTGATGTTATACAAATGCTCAGGCCTTGGTTGATGGACCATCTACGGGGGTTAAGCGTTCGGTTCGTAATTTCAAAGACCTTCATTTGACAAAGTTTCGTATACCACTGAGACATGGGATGCGCACAAAAAATGTCAAAAAGGCATTTGATGAAGCGAAAATCAGCGAGAAATGGGCAGAAACTTTATGGGCGCAAAAGCTTGCTAAAAAAGAAATTGTAAGTGTTTTTCACTGAAGTTTTTTTTTTTTTTTTTTTTATTATTTTGCTGATGACTGGCTGTGATTTCCAGCGTGACAGTTTTATACAACAGATGATTAATGTTTGTGTCTGACATTTTATTTTTGGAGAAACGAGTAGAAATGATGCCGTTTATTTTATATAAAAATATATGACATGATCATTTCAACTACCCTATAAGATCATTTGCAAAAATCCCAACCTGTTGGTTGATTAATATATATAAGTTGGAAATTTCGATGAAATATCACCTTACTGTGATATTTTGTGAAATGTTTTTTTTGCTTTTTAGAAAGCAAAGATGACTGATTTTGATCGGTTCAAACTGATGCGCGCAAAGCAGCTGCGAAATAGGTTGGTGCGTTTGCAGTTAGCGAAACTGCGCAAGACAAGGAAGACCGGAAAACCGACTAAAGAGAAATAAGCGAAAAATGTTTACTCTTCACGTTGGCTTTTGTTTGTTAATTTTAATGAAACTATTGTTTGCGATTTCAGCAAATGTATAAAAATTGGTTTGCTGAACAAAAAATATTTTTAACCTGTTCGAGATTTAAGTTGCACTGGTATTTTTCTTTCAACGTTGGGAGACCAGCATAATGTACCGTAGAATCAAGTTTGGATTGCCTTGTCCGAAAGTAATGTTTCCTATATTATTTGGGAGTGTAATAAATTATATCGGTTTTTTTTTTCAATATAACTTTAATATGCTACTAAAAAGAAGCGGTAATCAAAGGCTTGTCATATATTGTTGTTTGAATCACAACGCTAAGTGTTGCAGAATAATGCAAAATGGTAGTGTTCGAAGGAATCATTGCAATTTTAAGTAGATGTGAAGATTAAATTAAGAGTTCAGTCCTGAAAATTCGGTAAAAGACATACTTCCATAGGTGATACATTTACGAACCATATTTAACTGCATCAAAAACCGTTGCCTGGTGAATAGTGTCCAGATATTACGTGGATAGATCCATACCATTAATAATACTGGGATGATGAGCTCTTCTAGCTGACTTTAATAGCGTAGTAACAAATAAAATTGAGGACTGAGATATCTGACGAGAACTCGACTATCAGATATTGAAGTTCAAATTGTAGACTGACATCACTCTAACATTTCTAAGATTTATTAATGATTTTGTTTTTGCACATTTCCCACGTTTTATGTTTTTCAAATTTCTTAAGCAAATTTCTAATTACGCAAAGCAAAAAACATTTGCAAGAACGATACATCACACTTTTAGTATCTACATAAGTGGTAATCAGTACCAGTAGCTAAAATTCAATTGTACTTATGAATTGTGTTCCTAAATTCAATGTCCAAGCGATACTGTATTCAAAGGAACGCAACATGAATAATAAGTAAATTCAAGAATCGAACAAAATCTGTAGTTTGCAACAAATTCATCAGTAAAATATGTGCTATGCGAAGAACAGAGATTACAACAACCAGATGATAAAGGAAGCGAATTAAATTTTTGTTGTACTTACATCACCGGTACAACTAATTCTACATTTTTTTGTAATTTTATTATGGTGATAAGGATTCACTGATGTTGTAATTCTCGGAATATAGAAAAGATATCACAGCGTTCTTGAAATGTAAGGAAGAAAGTTTAACTTCAAACTCTATTATTCTTCAATAGCTACTACTAACAAATAAAAGTTTAGTTTTATCTGTGAATGACATCGGCCAAATTTATTGCTCCCTGAATTCAAATTCAACTTAGATTATCCAAACTTGAGCTTCATGCTTTGGAACGAATTGTGCGCAAAAATGGATATTCATTGTCAGGATTTCTAATTGGCCTTTAAATCTTCGGCAGCACTTTTCAAGGCAGTTTCAAAGATGGGTACATGCAAGAAAAGAGACGTCTCCAAACATGGATCTGCAATCATATGAGAACTACAAAAAATACTCTTCCATTTTTAAATTCCTGAATTCATAGTAGTTAACTTACCAGTCAAATGTTGAACCCAATTTTTAAGCAAACACTTCATCTTTTCTTCTGATAAGCCATCATATTGCAAACGTCGTAGATAAAACTGCTAAAATATGATCTAACAGAAGAATCAATAATTGGCACCATGATAACACATATACGACAAAAAGTTTCGAGCTGAAAAAAATCCTAAAAAATCAAAAACTTTCTCTTACCTCATGTAACTGCTGCTCATTCATCATATCGATCACAGTATCTTCTTTTAACAAACGATCCAAATGTCGAAGTATTTCTGCCCGATCATGAAGTCCGCGAACACCGGCAGTAAGGAAACTTACTCGATGAAGCCTTGATAAGTGGTACTAAAAATTATACAATAAGTTCAACTTGAAAAAAAAAGAAACTTTTTCTCACATTTGCCACTACAAACTTATTACCAAGTGTCCAAGCGAATAAGTATTCATTTCCGGCAACTCCAGTTTCTTGAGTTCTTTCAGTGGTGTTTGCACATTAACGTCCTATAAAATTGTTTCTTTCTATTATGTAGAAGACAATAAGGTTAAAAAAAGCAGTATTTCTAGGGAAGTAAATAAGGATGAAATTTCGAAAAAAAAAAAGTTCATCATTTAAAAGTTTAGGTAAATAAGAAAATGAAGCAAAGGACATAATTTCAGCCACGAAAATTACTGTGATCTAAAAACATACAAAATATTGGAAAAATTGTAATCTACATAAGTAACATATAATTCCTACAATTTTGTTTTTCGTATCATGAAACCAACTTTACAAACCAAACTAACACACCAATTTTTGAAGATATTTTCGTAGTGGATCAAAATGCATTTGTGCTGTACGTTTTAAACTTATCGACCAAAATCTTTTTCGCTGATCAATCGTCCAAAAATGTCGAGTTAAGACAAGTCGAGGAAAAAACACCCTTCAAACAAACCAACTGTATAAACAAGATAATCAAACAAATCAAAAACAAGTTTGGAATAAAATTTACTAAAATAAATCCAAAATCTAAGTCAGTGTAATTCTTATAATTCATGCATCTATTAAATTAATTAACAAATAGAGAAAATTAAATAGTGTGTAAATAATATTATACGTTATAGAAAAGGTGAAAATTCAGTAACATGCACTTTGAAACATCACATAATTCTATAAGCACCGCCAATTTATTAATGCTCATTTACCAACAATGAGATGCATTTTATGCTTTACAAATTAGCGAAAAATTTCGAATCCATCAAGCATGAATAATAAGTTTACAAGTAAATATTTGCCTGAGTATGAATAAATATAGAAATATAAAAAAAATATTTGGTAAGGAAGCATATGTGAGAACGAATATGATGAGAAAGTGAAGTACATCAAAACTAAATTTGAAAAGAAGAAAGCTTACACGGCTAATGCGAAAATATAAACGGTGAGTGGCAGTGGTATAAAGATGACAATAACTGCCAATTTCAGTAATTCTTCTTTAGTCTAAAACAAAGATTGTGGAAATCTTCAAGCTTCTGAAAGGAATGAAATTACAAAACTTTTTCATCTGATCCTAAAAATTATTAAAAGCAATCTAAAAATTGGAAGTAATGTTAAGCGAACATATATTAGGGCAATGCATAAGAAAGAAAGGATCGTTAAATGATGTAAAAAATGAGTACATTGAAACCGACAAACGGATGGATTGCGAAACAATTTTTGTATAAATAGTAATAATAGAGTACTAAATTACCTCCATTAAACTTACCTAGAACTATGTACAGTTCCACCCTAAGAATAACTCTTACAATCTCTCAAATGCTTATGATAATTAGAAGTTTTAGCTGGCCTATCGGCATTTTACAGATTTACAATAGAAAAAAAGACCAAGCATGTGAACAATCCGAAATCCGGTGCAGCATGTTCATTTGCCGTAAAAATGGCAAAATTTTGTTATTTCCAAGCAAAACTCAAATAAAAACATAAATTAGAATAAAAGACACACACACACACACACCAGCGTAAGGAAGAAAAAAAAAGCAAATACCTGCTATGATCCTTAAAATCAAGAAAATTTCAAAAAATTGAGAAAAAGGCAACAAACTCACAACATCACGCAGAGACTCTCGCCCACTACCGGTATTTGAAGTAGCATTAATAGTGTGATTATATGCGTAATTTCCGAAGGACACTGAATTTTTTAGAAATGCAATTAAATGAATTCCATTCAGAATATATTTGACTGTAAATCCATTTTCTAATTCTATTAATAATATTCGTTAGTGAGCATCTAACGTTAAGAAATGAAATGTTTTTACTTCACTCCATTGAAGATATTATGATATACTACTGGTGGCACCTTACGCAAACAATATCTATCACAGGTTATCTCAGACTTTTCATGGTTAAATTAGTTAATTTCATTTCACAGCGAAGAGTACACTGCACATGCTGTCTTTGTTTTCACATTTCATATTAATAAGCAAGCAAAAATGATGGACCTGGAGAAGAATTTTCAATTCAGATTGTTTAAGCTCCGATATCTGTCGTGTTTTAGTTCTTAGATCTTTCTTCAATCGATAATATATCTTTATATCTGACCAGCACCATTTACATCCTAAAAGAAAAGAAAAAGCAAATCTGCAAGACGTTATGAAAAGGAAAATATAGGGAAAAAGAAGTTTCATTAAGGAACTATTGAGAAAGTAAGCATTTATTTCTAAATGACTGACAAATACTAAGATTCAACTTCTGATTATGAAATTCTAAGCCAAACTGTGATAATTACCTACAAAAAAAAAAAAAAAAAAAAAAAAAAAAAAGAAAAAGTTTTGCAAACGTTATCCAAATATTACCATATAAAGGATTAATTATGTAGTTTTGTTAAAAGCAAAAGTACCAATAAGCTAACTTATTTTTCCTCCTTTTAGCAGACTAATTTAATATTGTTAGAAAAACAATTTACTGTAATTTATTTTCCCTCACAACATTAATTAAAAAAAATGCCATAGAAAAGAAGAGAAAAAATTTATACCACTGATGACCATTCTGTGAACAGCATAAACTTTAGGATATCGCCGTGATAAGAATGATTCATACCGTTCCATCAATCCTCTTGATTCATTATTAGCCATTGAACTTAAACGGCTACTAATTAAATTATTATTTATCACCCATAATCTGGGCGTCTCACTATTTTTTAATCGTAAGCCTAATAGCATCAATCTGGAACCTGCAACTGACGATTGAATATTCCGTATTATTAACATTGAGTTAACCAAGCAACCTGTAAACAAAAATAAAGAATTGAAAAAAAAAAAAAAAAAAACTATTTAAATGGTTGGCAAATAGTCAGTAATCATCAAATTAGATCGATAATAGCATGATAATACAACAATGTTAACAAATTTCTTTATTAACTTTATTAATCATTAACAAATATCCATAATTTTCTAAATTAATGTTCTAATTATTATTCCGCATCTGTTCGCTTACATTGTTAGTTAATAAAGAATACACTGAAAGAATAAAATGATACCGCCAAACAACGAAAACAGAAACAATTTTAATATTCAAACAAATAAAGAAAGAAGTGAAACACCCGCACCAACAAGTAACGAAATAGGTTCACAATAAGTTGTAAATTTAAAAATGAGAAAGCTTAGCTTATTTAAAGTATTTAGGGCACAGACATCTCCTAATTAATAATTAATCTAATTATAGCAGTACGCTGTAAATATTTTAATCACGATTATCTAATAACTATCTTAATATTAATAATATCTTGCGAAGGTACATATTGATCTTTAACCTTGTGATAATATCTTTCTTTATTTTGGATAGTAGCTGTAAAATCTTCGTCTTGTATTGGTCGAAAATAAATTAGATCCGTGGAAGGATATTTAAGTAATAATTAATTATAAATTAGTGAATTAAAAAACAAAAAACGAAAAAAAACGAAAACAAAATCCAGCTTCATTAATTTAGATGTTAAGAACTATGCTAAACAATAAAAGTAGTTAGTTAAGGAATGAATAAAGTAAAGACTAATTCTTAATTTTTATTTATACGAAAAAGAAAAAATTCTCATTAATGTTTTAAAATTAATTCAAAAGAAATGTATAAATAACATTTGATAGCATTTGCTATTATAAAAATAATCTTTATTCAAAAGATAATGAAACAATTTTAAAATATATAAGACATCCATTTCATTCATTCAGTCAGTCAATCAGTCGGTTCGTTAGTTAGTTAGTTAGTTAGTTATTCAGGGAAATAGTATGGATCAGTTAGCTTAAGCAAAAGATATCGAATTCGTCTGCGATGAAGTAAATATCAGAAAAAAAGAAAAACAGGTTTTAAAAGAATAGCAATAACACTACGTTATGCAACAAAAGCATTGTTGTTAATAACATGCTATGACTATGAGAAAGTAAACAGGCGCTTGGCAATTGATCAAAACAACTTGCATTAAGGTTACTTTTTCTTCTCATGCTATTATGCTGATCATTTTTTATGTTTCAAGAAAGTTAATCGATTATTTTGTGTATGTCTTTTCTTTTTTTTTAATGGAAATTGGTTAATCACTTATTTCGATTTTTTTTTTTTTTTTTTTAAATGCAAATTGATTGAAGTATTTATGTGTATGTTATAGGTAACATAGCATGTGAAGTAATAATTAATTATCGAAGTTATAGGTATTGTTGTAGATAAATGAAGTAAAATAGCAAAGTCAATTAATTGATATAATTTATCATCTAGCGGTTATCTTTATTTATATTCTCATAATATTTTCAATGATATTTTAATATTAAAAAAGAAAAAAAGAAAAGAGAAAATTAACTTCCAATGATTATTATAGATTAATTAAAAATAAGGTCATTTAGGATTATATGAATTTAGATATATGAATAGCAGAATGATTTTATTTTAAATCGAAATTAATATCATTTTTCAATTATCAGAAGTAGTTTAACTTATTGAACTTACAATTGTATAATCATTATCGGTATTATTTGATTTATGATTTTTTGTCTAAATACAACCAACAATATTTAAGTATATTTGAAATGGAAAGAAAAAAAGATGTATAATGATATATTAGGAGAAGTAGGAGGATGAAAGATGATAATTTTCATTTAAAACACTGTAATTAATAATCAATCAACCGTAGAACTTTCCACACTAGATGAAATAAGGATGATTAAAAGAGTAGGTGAAAAGAGGAGGAATAGAAATAAGGGTCATTTAAAAGATAAAACTTCGAGGTCATTTTCACTCTATCAAATATCATTGAACCGTTTTTAAAAATCATTTTTAAAATTTTTTTTTTTCATTTCGTACTAAATTTAGGAAATTTTACGAACATATAAACACCTGCAAAATAACAGAGACATTCCAGATACCTGATTATTATTAACTTTTTTCTTCACTCTCTTGCAAATACTAAATTATTTTTTTTTTTTATATTCTTTCAATTTATACAAAATATTTCTTTCCTCACTTTAACAAAAGAACATTTCAATTTAATTCTATTTATTGTTTTTCAACCTTAATTTTAATTTTGTTTCCTGTCAAAAATTTATTTGGTAATTTGCCTTATCATTTTATATTTCATAATATAAAGGTTGCATTGAAATAGTATTTTTTATGTTTGTTAATTTCGAAAATATTTTCGATTTTAATTAGAAATTATTAAAGAAAGAAAATCACTAAGAAAAATGCCATTAAGTCTTTGAATAAGAAGTAAAATTTACTTTTACAATCAGAAAAAAAACATAAAAAGAATGAAGAAGGAAGGTTTTTAAAAGCATATTTCAATTCTCTTGTTTCAAAAAATTACTTCTTTTATTTTCCTAAACTTTCTCTTTTTTTTCCCATGCAAATGCTATTCTTTTTATAATGTCTATCTTTCTTAAATTTATACCAGAAACGTTACTTTATTTTATTTGTTATTTAGCAGAAAATTAAATTCTCTTCCTAAGTGTACATTGACAGTATTTCCTTATTTTAAAGTTTGATTTCATTTGTTTTATTTAATAAAAAAGGAAATTAAATTTTGTACTTCACAAATTTATTTCTTTCTGTACTGTAACATCTAGCTCTGATTTATGCAGTAATAATTTGTCATCTGTAACTTTTCTATAATTCATTTTTGCATAGTAAAGATGGATATTGTTGCGTCTAATGATTGGAAAATTTTTGTGGTGAAAATTTATAAAATAATTTTGTATAAATAATTTCAAATAAATGAATTTAATAAATGATTGCGATTTTTAATAAAATTTCGAATATTGAAGAAGAAAAGAGAGAGATTATAAAGTATAATTTTTTATTTTTTTGAGGTATATTACTAATAATGTAAGGACATTTAAGGAGCTGGAAAATTCTGCTTGAATTTTATAGAATTTTTGCAAGATAATATTGTTTAAAAAAAACTTCTTTTTTTCTAAAAAAATGAATAAAAATTCAAATAAGCTAGTCAGCTATATTGATTTTGTTTTATGTGTTTCAGTACTTCATGCCTTTCTAGTTCAATAAAATATGATGAGAAAAAAAAAATCGAATAAGAAGATTTCTATCAAATGAATCCTTTGACAATTTTTTTCTTCTGGTCAATTTCATAGTCTTTCTCGACAATTTAAATTCTTTTAACTGTCATTTTGTTAATATTTAAGTTAAATAGAGGATAAAAAGCAACCAAATGAGGCACTTTGAAATTTTAATTTACTACTCCTAAATTCTAAAAAAAAAAAAAAAAAAATAACCGGCTGGATACGTTTATTTTAATTTTATTTACTTTTTTAAATCTTTTTATGCTTCATTCACCATCACACATTTCAAGCATTTCTTTGAAAAAGAAAATATTATATCAGTGAAATAATTAGGAATGATTAATTTAAACATGATTAAGTAGATAATGTCCATTTAATGGTTCATTTTATGTTCGTGAAAAATGAAATAATCGTAAATAATTATGTCATTATAATTTTAGATATGTTAGGGTATTATATGATGATAGTTTGAATTAGTAAGCAGTATTTTAAGAATTAAGAATTAAGATAGCTTTATAATTTTAATATATAAATTTTTTATTATATTATTTTTTTACTGTATAAATCATACTTTTATTACCGTATGCCAATAAGATTAATTATTATTGTACTCTTCTCGGTTCACAAGTACATCTTTCTCATACTGAATCCTTTTTCCTTTTTGAATTGAACTGAATTAATTTCTTATAATAATTTATGTTATTTTTTCCTCTTCAAAAACTTCCACTAACCTATATTACTTATTATTTTACCTCCTTTTTTTTCTCTCTCCCTATATATATGGAGAAAGAAAAAAATTGATAAGCAGTATATATATATATATATTCAGTAGTTGTAGTACTTTCTACAATTCCATCAATTCGAATTAATGTAGTATTTCATTACAAATTTAATTTAAATTTTAATTTAGTTCTTTTTCTTTGTTAATTTGCAAATTTTTACAAAATGTGTGTGATTAAAAATTTATTTGATTGAAAGAATTGTAATACATAGTGACAGCAAGCTTATATTAAACCAAAATTGGATAGGAAGAGATGTGAGAAATTTGTTTTGACCAAAAAAAGAAAGACAAAAAAAAAAAAAGAATTTAAGGAAAGACTTTAACGTTGAGAAGACACAGACAGTCAATATGTAATGCGTTTTGGCATGTTGGAATAGAATCATCAATAAAATATTGGTATTGTTTTTTTTTTAATAGATAAATAAATATATCAAATATAAGAAATTTTAGGAGTAAATGATAAGTTTTAAACAAAATATTCAGTGAAAAATGTTGTGAAAATTATTAAAAAGAAAGAAATTAGCGTGACATCTTGATTTGACATTCAAACAAAATCAAATTTAAACACTTTTGAAATAAGATAAAATATTCAAAAAGAAAGAGAAATAATTTTAAAATTTAGATTTCAAACAATTTCAAAATATGAAATATTCGGAAGTTTTAAAACACATAAATGATAAATTATTGCAATAGAATAAGAAAAAAAAAGAATAAAGATGTTAGCAAAATGATCAAATACTGACTAACATAATTATTATGTAATCACTTATAGTGATGATGTAATTATTAAATGAAATTTGAAAAGTTGAGCATTGTCATAAGCACTGTATACTTAACTGTAAATTTCACTCATATTTTTAACTCAAGTATTCTAATATAAAAGATAGAGAGAGAGAGAGAGAAAAAAAAAGACCCTTCTTCATCTTATTTATCA